GGAAGTCGGGCTGTCAATTTCAAGCTATTTTGATTTTTTTTATTACAGATTTAACATTATCATCTGAAAAGCACACAGGGGAAAGGAACCAAGACTAGGGGTAGACCACAGTGTAAGTGCCTGGAGATTACGTCCATTGTTTTCCATCAGAACTTCCAGAGGCTTCTATTCACATGGGGATGGAACAAGCAATATGGGATGTTCAGCAAGAATTTGTACAAACAAGAATCTCTGCAGTTCTGAAGAAAGTGAGGGACCTGTCTGTGTCTTTTCATTACACACATACAAAGTTCTCAATCCACACCCACACATCTCTTTCTGCTGCTGGTAGTCCCTGCCCGCTATTTATTATTTCATTAACATGTTAAGCTTATCTGTAATTTACTTACACATTGATTAGTAAAAATATTCCTATTATGTCCTTGTTTTCCTTGTGCTAAAATGAATTAACGTTATGAAGGAGAACTCTTTGTGAAGCAATTGCCTTGTTTAAATTAGGCAATAAAATTGGATTTCTTAATAGCCGTGCAATAAACCCAGACTGCTTTATAATCTGCCAAGTGCCCTTGCATATAATACTGTATCTGATTCCCATGTTGGCTTTGAGTATTAAGTGCATTTGGCAAGTCAGATTTACACAAGTAGATCGAAGAAGAGAAGGAAACACATTCAGTTCCTAAGCTAATGTTGGGCAATGACTGCAACCTGCATTTTGAAATTTTTAGGGAAGAAATCTTTGCTTGTACTAGTTCTTAAGACTGCTGTAGCCATACCACTTCATAATAAAAGTATCCTTAGAATTCCAGTTCTTTACTATAGCCATACCATCTCATAATAAAAGTCTCCTTAGGACTCTCTTTTTTTCTTCTCTTCTTCCTCTTTCTGCTCCTCTTAATACTTAGTACTTAAAAGGTGGTTCATTGAATGAGGGCACCTGCTGCCAAGTGTGAGGACCTGAGTGGGATTCTGCCATGCCAGATTTCTACTGTGAAGGGTGGACATCCTGTGATGAAGAATAGGGTTCTGACAGTTTAGACAGCACTTTAGACTGCTGATGAAAATAGTCATCTTAAATTCCTAATGTTCTGTCTTGGTGTCCCATCATTGGTGTGAATGAAGTATTAAAGTCACCCACTATCATTATGTAATTTTAGATATATTAGTGATTTTTGATGAATTTGGAGCCTTTGGTTTGGTGCATCTCTTCCTAGGCTTTAGAAGCAGCTTGTATACTGTGTCCTAAAATCCTGTGACAACTTCCCTGGGGCAACTTGAAGGGATACAGTCTAGCAATGGGACATCTCATAATGGTGTAACAAAACTGTGAATCAGCGTTCAATGTGGAAAGAGAATGTAGGAACCCTAGACATTGCCAATTTGATGGGTGCAGACATACTTCTGGAGCATATGACAGTTATAGCCCTGGTTCAGTCATCTGGACTTGACCCTAATAGCTCGCTTCATGGGTTGACTGAGACATGAACATCTTAAGCTTAGTTAGGGTAGAGCTTTCCAAGTATGATAAAGAAAAGGGAGTCTGAAGGGAGACAAACACAGCTCACTGGCTTTGCAAAATCAGGGCACACCTATCTGCTTCCCTACAAAATAAATCTTAATGCAAAGACATAGAAAGGTTGACTATCTCAAGACATGCATTGCAAAACTATTAAAAGAATCCACATAGTTTATGGATATCTGCTGTGGAATAATTCTTTTATATATCATGAATATATATTACTCTTACTGGTTAATAAGGAACTGACCGCTGGTAGTCAGGCAGGAAGTATAGGCAGGACAGCCAAACTGAAAATACTGGAAGGAAAGAGAGCATAAAGTAGAGTCACCAGGAGACACAAAGTGAACAAGACATGCTGGAGGACAGGTAAAGCCATGAATCATGTGGCAATACATAGACTAATAGACATGGGTTAATTGAAGTTCTAAGCAATAGTAATAAGCCTGAGCTATTGGCAAAGCATATATAATTTATATTGAGTCTCATGGTTAACTGGAAATGGTAGATGGAAAAACAATACTCCACCTACAGATATCACAGATGATCATCAAGTGAGAAATATAACTGGTAAAAAAAGTGACCTTGCAAAGTGATGAAAGGGTCAACAAGAAAACATAATCATTCTTAATTTATGTACTTCTAATATTCCTTTGAAATACATCAAAAGAAAGATCCACAATTCATAGTAAACGATTTCAATTTATTTCAGTCTGAAACATATCAAATTTTTGGACAGAAATTAGTTAATATATTGACAATTTAAACCATATGTAGACAGAAATTAGTAAATCTATTGACAATTTAAACAACAAGATTACCAATCTTGTTCTACTTGGAGTGCACAAATCACTATATTCCCAAATTGAGAATATATATAAATTCTTTCCTAGGATATCTAGAACATTCTCCAAATTGATGGACTATAAGACCAAAGAGATTTCAATAATTGTCTTTGTTTCATTTTTTAATTGAATACAGATATTTTAATACACTATATCAGATTATGATTTCCCCTTCTTCACCCCTTTCCTCTGCACTTCTTCAACCAACCAAATCTACACCCTTCTTTCTCTCTCTCACTGGGATACAAGCAGCTATCTGTAGCGGGTCTTTCTTTACAGCTTCAGCTCTCTAATAATGATGTGAACACTTGGCCTTAGCTTAGGTATTTTCCCAACTAGTTCTTAAAACTTAAATTAACTTGTTTATATTAATCTACATTTTGAGACATCACTTGTTCATTGCCTTTCCCCAGTACCATACTTCAGTCTTTCTCCACATCTGAACGGCCAATCTCCTGTGCCTCAAGCTCTTTCCTAGAGTTTTTATCTCTCCACGGAAGTCCCACTTATTTTCTCCTGCCCAACTATGGGTCATCCAACTAGTTATTAAACCAAGCAAAAGGTGCCTTAGGCAAATGAGGTAAAAACAGGATACATCTTTACACAATGTACAAAAAGATTAACCCAACATCCATCTAAAAATAATAATAATAAGGTAAAATTAGATAAAGTGAATAAAGCAGGATAGGACAAAAATAAAAAAAAATAGAAGAAAAAGAGGTAAAGGAAACACTCTAGAAACATATATAGAGATTCAGAGACACACAAAGAGAAATCCCATAAAAACACAAAACCAGAAACCACACTATGTGCACAAAGGAACTGTAAGGTAGAAAAAAAAGTCCTGACAAAGTATTATGACACAAAGAACTTCCCCAAACGCCACTGAGTTAATCTTCTCTTGGCTTCTACTTATGGGCATGTGGTCTTACCTTAAATGTGGTTTGTATACCCAGTGAGACTCTGTTGGAGGAAACTAATTTTCCCATTTGAAAGCAGTTATCAAGTAGAGCTAACTTCCAGATGTGGTCTTTTGTCCCCATCTCTCAGCACTGGGAACCCCATGGGCTCTGACCCATGTAGGCTTTGTGCATGCTACCATAGTCTCTGGGAGTTCACATGTGTGTCAGTCCCGCTGTGTTTAGAAGGTCTCGTTTCCTTGGTGTCCTGTAACACCTCTGGCTCTTCGAATATTTTTCTTCTCCGGGGTTGCCTGAGCCATGAAGGGGGTGAATTTATGGAGACATCCCATTTAGGACTGAAGAGTTCCAAGATCTCTCTCTCTGTACATTGTCCAGCTGTGGGTCTTTGTATTTATTCCCAGCTGCTGTAAGAGAAATTTCCTCCTCTGATGATCCACCAAGACGCTACTTTAGTAGAACAGCAATATTTGGTTTCCACTGAGGCCAATGGCCTATCTTGTATCAGGTTCATGACCACTCAAACAGTGTTAGAGATGGGTTTGGTCTTATGGAGTGAGTCTTAAATCCAATCAGATACCCATTTGTTAGTCCCACAAGCTTTGTGTGTGTCATTATTGTACTAGCCTGTCTTGCATGCAGGTCACAATTGTAGATAAAAGGGTTTGTAGCTAGGTTGCTCAATCTGCTTTCTTTTAGAACCCAGGACCACCACAATGGCCTGGTCTTCCCCCATCGATTAAGAAAATGGCCAACAACCAGATCTTATAGAGGCATTTTCTCAGTTGAGGTTCTCTCCTCTCAGAAGACTCTAGTTTGTGTCAAGTTATCATGCAGCCTTTTTACATAACATTGGTATCCATGCTAAGAAAATAGAAATTTAAAAACATTAAAACTACTGAAGAATATCATATAATTATAAAAGTGACTAATATGCAAAATAGGGCAAATAAAATGTATTTTGGCACACTCTTATCTTTTATATTGTGGTAAAACAGCTAATAATAAAATTGAGAATCTGACCGACTGAACACAGATTTTTACCGTGGTGATGAAAAAAGTCACTAAAGCAACCCAACAGAAGTGAGAGCAGGATGAGCAGGCAGCTCCTGGGCAGCTGGCACAGAAGAGGACAAGATGAGCTAGCAAGGATGGCATGGTTGCTTCCTTTCTGCAAGGCACTTGGACTTGCATAGAGACTTAAAAATAAAATTTTAAATTGTGTCAAACATCCCAGAGGCATAGAGTTTGATGCACAAAATAATGTGGTCATTGTTTTGGAGTCAAAATAGCAGGGACAGTCATAATTTAATGTCTCCATGCCTCATTTATAACAACTAGACAAGCAGCAACATATATAACACAAATTGCTAGGACACAAGAGTTAGTGAACTTTTATGCCTGAGTAGTAGGAGTGTAAAATGTGTCAAATGCTTTCACAAATAACAACAATTGAGAAGAATGTTAAATTATAACTTGCATTATATCTCTTTTTAGGGACATATACTCAAGAGGAATAAACACATATGCATGAGAATGTCCACGTAGCTTAATTCACAATAGCACAAAATGAAAACCCTCAAACATCTATCTCAGTAGGAAAGCTACAGACATGCTTTAGTGGCTTCTCCTTTGCAACAAAACAGAATAGATATGGACTATTAAAAGTGCATGCCCCAAGCTTGTGACGAGAGGCATGGCCAGGGACTTCCTGAATCAGGGGTGAGTTCTATACATCCATGTGGGTGTTGGGAATGTGTGCATGTCTATAAGTAAATGTTAAGAGCAAAACACCAGCTGTGCATTTTACTCCATATAAATTATACTTTGATGAATGTAAGAGGGAGGCCACTTGTTCATCCTAACCACCCAGAACTGAAATAATCACACAGAAACTCTATTAATTAAAGCACTGCTTGGCTCATTAGTTCTAGCTTCTTATTGGCTAACTCTTATGTATTAATTTAACCCATTTCTATTAATCTATATATCACTACGTGGCTGTGGCTTACCAGCTAAAGTTCTGTCTGGCTCCAGCAGGGCTACATGATTTCTTTCAGACTCCACCTCCTTCCTCCAAGCATTCAGCTTAGTTTTCCCTGTCTAGCTCTGTTCCCTATAGCATTGCTATAGGCCTAAAGCAGTTCTTTTATTAACAAATGATATTCACAGCGTACAGAGGGGAATCCCACATCAGATGAACATAATAGTGAAAATAAAGAAGTATTTCATTCAGCTGGTAGATAGAACACTGAAGAAGTGTGTGTGTGTGTGTGTGTGTGTGTGTGTGTGTGTGTAAAAGCATGTTTGTGGAGGAGACACGAGCCCATGTCTACACAGAGGCTGGAGAAAGATACAGGTTTTCTGCTCTGCCCCTTTTCCCTTTACCCCATAATGCAGGGTCTCTCATTAACACAGAGAAAGTCAGTGGATCTCAGAGATCCTCTTGCCCCTGTCCCACCTAGTTCTGGAGGCGTAGGCACATGGACAATCATGACCAGCTCTTTGAAATGAGTGCTGGAGATGTGAACTCAGGACCTCATGTGGCGTCATCACCCCAGACTGGTAAATTCTTCTCATGGTTGATGATAGCTTCTAGGATGTGAAACAAATGAAGATACTTGCAATCTTTGGTGTCATATCCATGTTTTTCATGGTGCTGCTTTGATTTCTGGTAGAATGTGAGGCCTGTCCATATTGCTGCCCTTCACACAACACAGCAGCATGCCAGGGAGTGGCGGGGTGCTTTCTTCTTCTTCTTCTGCCATCATTTCTTCATGGCCATGAAAGTCAGAACTGACCCTGTTCCAAACATTGCTTCTGTATTCAAATTTAAATGAGAAAACATTTGTTAGGATCCATCCTGCTTAATAGAAAATTAAAAACATGTCCTAAATTCCAATAACAGACATTCTCCAAGGATGGCTAGCTGACTGGACAGTTAAGCCTTGGTAATGGAAGATGGCAAAGTCGTGGGGCTAAGAATGATTGAAGCCAGTTATGGCAAATGATGCTATTTTTCCTCTTTTTTTTGGCAAATCTCTCCTATACTAAGAGACTTCTTTTACTCCTGTTATTCACATCCACAGACTAGGAGCAGCCATGCCATGGCTTCGTCTGCTCTCCATACAAGCAAGCATGCAAATAAGCATGGTCAGTGTTCGCTCAGGAAACTGAGGCCACATAGCTCCAGACCTCCTTCCCACTCTTGTTCCCAGATAAATCAGGAAAGTCTTTCCCAGGTCACATCATTGTTCATGGTAGGTAAGGACTCAGAGTGTGCACTAAGCAGAGTGTCCTGCCAAGGAACGCGAATCTTGTTCTTGGTTTTGTGAGATCTCCCAGCAGCATATCCTGGTAGCTTTGCTTCCGAGGCTCCACTATACCTGAGCAAGCGTCTCCAAGGGATGCCAACACAGAGTTCTAGTCAGATATCATCATGGTGTTCTTCACCACAGAGATGCTATGAGAAAAACATTTAGTTTATTTCTTCCTTGGGACAGGAAAATATAAACTGCTGACTGACACCTTAACGTCATGGTCCTTCCATTCTAGAGTGCCACTTCCAAGTAGTGCAGCATCTCATGTCAGTCGGAAAATGGATTCTGACATCCTATTTTCCACACTGGAAATGCTATGACAGAAGAGAAAATTAACTGTGAGGATATAGAGCAGGAGCAAGGGGGGAATGGAGGGGGTTCCTCTAGAGCAGAAATGTAGGGCAGGAGCAAGGGGGAATGGAGGGGTTCCTCTAGAGTGGAAATGTGGGACTAAGACTTCAGATAGTTTCTCTTTGACCTTGATCCAGCATCTCTTGGCTACACCCTCTGTGTAGTGTAGATTTCAGATCTCTATTTCATGTGTCCTTTCTCATTCCACCCCTCCACCTCCACCTACCAAGGATCTCAAGAAGCCCAGGCTGACCTTAGCCCAATATGAAACTTCTGATCTTCCCGTCTGCTTGTCTTGCAAGTTCTGGGAAGTGATTAGCTTCACTCTTGGGCAAACCCTTTACCAGCTGAGTGATATCAGCTCTGACTGTTAGGTACCTGTAGTACAGCAGCAATATAAGAGACCACCCACCCCAGTTTTCTGAGGTATCCCAAGAAGACTGTGACCTAGATGAGACTTGAAATATTCAGTTGTGAGGTCAGAGGACAACACATGGTCACTGTCGTATAACAACAGCACACCTGATGACTAAAGTTCCAGGGTTTGTTTTCCTCTGGTGCACCCTTTGGAAAGGCTAGCTGGGGAGCATGGGAATGGGCTCCAACATTGTCTGCACTAATTCACTTTTCATAATGAATACAACTTGGAACAGGTTCCTGTGAACAAGAAAGGTGACAGGGGTGAGTAACTCTGCTTCCCAGGGATAGATGTCAGGCCACAGCAATACTTGGGAGAGGGATGTAGAAAGGTCTAACTCAGTTGCACTCTTCCTCTGTGTCCTATTTTGAAATAAGCTAAATTATGCATCTAGAGGATGCTCATCTCAGGGCTGATAGTCTAAGGGTAATACATGGGAAACAGAGGAAGAGCCCACAGTCTGCCTGTTACACGTTCATTTATAAATAAAGCCCTGTGAATTCCTCCAAAATTTCCCAAACCACTGAAAACCCAACTTTTACATCCTCAAACTGGAAGGATGAGAGCGTAAATGATGCCCACTGGAGACAGACAGCAAATGACTGAGGCTTACCTCTTCAACAATGCTGCAAAAAGCAACCCTTATTGGCTCCAGAAACGTAATGGTAGTTGTCAAGTTAATAATGCAATTTCTGGTGTAAGAATTTTTAGAATATCCTTTGTGACATTAGAAGTAGAAAATCACTCTACCTGCTGAATTGCTAATGGTCCTTGGTCCCCAAACTTCAAATGCAAATGTCATGCCTGTATTCCAATTGTGAAGCTAATTAGAAGCTGTAGGGTTCTGGTGTTCAGAATCTGAAGGTTCAGAGAACTAACTCTCTTCTACAGAAGCTGGTTCAATGTAGCCCTTCAAAGAAAAAGAGAGACTGCTATAAATATTAAATAAAATGCATTTCAAGTCAATGTAAACTAGCTAACACATAAGTAAAAACTAAGAGAATGACTTGCAGTTATTTAAGCAGAAAATAAATCTATTACATTTGTTTATTGCGGAGGGGAGTTTGTGTGCTCCGTGATATATCTGTGAGGTCAGAGGTCACCTTGTAAGCAATCTGTTCTCTCTACCTGTGAATCCAGGGATCATCAAGCTTGCTGGCATACGCCTTTACTCGTCGAACCATCTTCTAGTCCCCCAAACCATTTATTAGATAATCAGTTTTAAAAGATGTAGCTAGGGTCTGGAGAGAAGGCTCAGCCATTAAGAACATTGAGACATCTTCCAGCAGATCCTGGTTCTATTCCTGGCACCCACAACATGGATCACAACCTCCTGTTGCACCAGTCAAAGGTGATCTAACACCCTCTTCTGGCCTCCAAGGCCACTACTTATACATGGTGCAGAAGTATATGCATGTAAAACACCCATGCATATCGATAAAAATAGTTTTAAAGATTAAAAATTTTGGTTGTACGTCTTTTATATATGCATACATATAATATTACATGTGTTTTCTTCTTTGGTTTTGAACATAGAAAAATCCCACCATTTTCATTCTCTTATACTTTTAGACAATGATGATGCATTAAATAACTACCAACATTTCTGACCCTGATTTGTGTAGCAATAAGATATTACAAATAAAAACCTCATGTTCCTGTAGTGAGCAATGGTTCTCTACTACTCTATTTTTGTTATTGTGGGCAGATATACAACTTAAAACAGCTAGTGGTGGCATGCAAGGACAGCTTAATTATAACATAATATAAAAGAGGAATACTGTACTATCTTGTGTTGATGAATAATCATGATATTAATTCCTTAAATGGCTACCTAATAAGTAATTATTTTTGATCAGCTATTTTTTTTAATTTTTTAAAAGACTATCAGCAAGACAAAACCACACAGCAAATTAGTTGTTAGTTCAGTTTTCCAGAATAACTGCTGAAACCTAGAGCATTTTATACATAGAAAACACAAATGAGACAGGATGTGTGAACATACAGTGTTTAAACATTTACATCCATATTTTACAATGAGTTACAGATGTGAAAGAAGTTCTACTCAATCATGCCCTGGGCAACCCTTGAAGGAGCATCTGCCTGTGTGTATGCACAGCCTCGAATGAAGACGCCTGGTGTAAACAGGACGTTGCGTTGGTGGACTAAATAATGAGAGATTCATTTTCTTTTTCTCCCTCTATTTCACAAACACCCCCACACACTGTAGCATTCATCTTTGTTAGACATACCATTTTCCAGGTGAGTGGGACACTTGGCCACTGATGCTATTATTGCTGGGGTACAAGCAATTATTTCTGCAAAGCAATTTTGTGACATACTGTGAGATTGATAAAAATATTGAATGTTTGACCAGTACTTTTCCTACTGTAGAACTAATTGTACCATGGGGATTATCACATGCCTGCAACTTAAAGTAACATTTAAAGAAATTCCAATTAGCAGATACGTTTCTGGATATAATTCACAAATTTTAATCAGAATTTTTAATATGTGCCTAGTTACTTCCCTGTTTGCTGATTTGCAGACATTTATCCAGAGCAAAAATAGTACACATGCATCAAGATGCTAGATATAAAGATGCTTAGAGTAGAGAAACATAAATAACAAATTATATTTCTGTAATATTTTCAAAGTAGGTTTATATTAATTTTTAAAAATCAACCTCTCCTAGCTGATTGAAAAAAATTATTTTTGCTGACATCAAGTGGTTATAACCTACTATAGAAGTTTGTGAATATTAAGAGTTGAAGAATATTCTATTTCGTTGGAATGTTCTATAATATATTTTGGTTTTAAAAGTAGTTTATGGTACCATTCTCCATTGCTTCTCTTGTTAAATGGGTATAAAATGAATAAGGATAGGAACTTGGTGTGGGAGAATGGTCTGTATTCTGTCAATTATATTTTAAATAAACACTGATTGGCCAGTATCCAGGCAGGAAGTATAGGCAGGGCAACCAGACAGGAACTAGAGACAGGTCAATGAGGACAGTAGAATTCTGGGAAGGAGGAAGCCCATTCCTCCATAGTCTTGTCCAGCCACAGAAGAAGCAAGATGTGATTGTCTTGCTGAAAAAGGTACTGAGCCATGTGGCTAACATAGACAAAAATAATGGGCTAATATAAGTTATAAGAGTTAATAAGAAGCCTGAGCTAATAGGCTAACCAGTTTACAGTCAATATAGACCTCTGTGTGATTTCTTTGGGACTTAACTATCGCAGTAACCAGGCAGGACAGAAACCCCGACAACAGGAACTAAATCTAAACATAAAATGATTGATTACATCCTAATATTTGCTCCATTTGAGGAAGTACATGTGTGGTTTTGCAAATGTGGCCGGGAACCCATGGTGGGGGCCTCACAGGTCCCCAGAGGGGAACCTACTGCTGTTTGTTTGCTAAATGGATAACTATATCTTTATACCATTTATATCCAACTGCCCTTGTTTTTTTATCTCTCCACACTCATTAGTTAGTGCAGCTCTCAGACCTCGCCTGTGAAACATCTCTGAGCAGTGAACAGTGGTTGACATAGTAACTCAAAACCCATGGAGTGCTCAGCCACAGATGGAAGATCACACCACTTTTCCCAGACTCACAGACCATCATGGAAGAGGGCTTGAAAAGATTGCAGGAACCAGAGGTCAGAGGTCATGAGAACAAAACCCTATCTTCTGGAAGAGTCAGGACCACTCTAGAGTACGTAGCTAATGCCCAGAAATGAATAGATAGCACAAATTAGAATTGGTGAATTCTTAAATTTAAGAAATAAAAAGACGTGGATGGAGGTGGGTAGTCCTTGGACTTCCCACAGGGCAGGGAACCCTGATGGCTCTTTGGGCTGACGAAGGAGGGGGACTTGATTGGGAGAGGGGGAGGGAAATGGGAGGCAGCAGTAGGGAAGAGACAGAAATCTTTAATAAATAAATTAAAGAAAAAGAAATAAAAAGAAATACAAAATTTAGGTGATTGGATAGAGGGTGGAGGTGGATCTTGGAGGAGTAAGAGCTGTAGTTGGGGTTCAGTGTGATCAAATATATATTGTGTGAAATTATGAAAGAGTTAGTGAAAATATTTCTATTAAAAATCACAAAAAAAATGAGTATAGGTATTCTCCATTACAATGACCTTGTTTCTTTTCCTGGATACCAACTTACCTTTCATAGCTGGATCTCCCAACAGGTGAGTTTATAATGTAACAAACCATCCAGGTTTTCCTACCCCAGACTTTTGACTTTCTCTGCAATGCAATCCTAGTATTGCATTGTTTCTAATCAGTAGGAAATGCTAAAGGCATTTATATTTTTAATTATCTGCATGGCAAACAGAAGCATATAACCATTTTAAACTTAGATCTCAGCATCTAAACCAGGGGCTTTCACCCCTCCTAATGCTACAACCCTTTAAATAGTTCCTATTGTTGTAGTGACCCCAACCACAAAATTATTTTTATTTCTACTTCATAACTGTAACTTTGATATTGTTATGAATCATAATGTAAACATTTGTGTTTCTAATCGTTCTTAGGCAATCCCTGTAAAATGGTCATTTGATACCCAAAGGGGTTGAAACCCACAGGATGAGAACACTTGAATTTTAATCTAACAAGCTGTGGCAGACCCTTGTCTCAGAAGAATGAGGAAGTTAGAGTGGGTGCAGCATTTAACACAGCAGATCATGTAAACCTGTGTCTTTGCTGACCACAGTTCATTATCCCTGAAGAGTCACAACTCAGCATGACCTCTCCCCTTGCACGAACATGGCAGTCCCAGTGAGGTAGAGATAGAGCAAAGAAGACTGACACTCTCAAGGGATCCTGCATAGATGATAAGTTGATACTAAACTGACTTCCAACGGCAGAATGCAGGCTGGAAAACTGGTGGAAGTATTTATTTATCAAAAGTTCTTGAACTTGTGTGTACATGCGCATACATCATATACATATATATGTATATATATATGTAGATGTATATTTACACATATATATGCATGAAAGATGACACAAGTTGTGGTTTCTATGGAAAGGAACAGCTATGACTGGGGATACTTTCTCTGGAGCACAGGACTGTATTCCACTTGGACTGGGACTAGAAGCCGTACTGGCACTGCTCTCTGGCAAAAACTCATCATACAATAGTTAGAAATCAAAGCTGTTTAGTTAAGACATTTATTTACATCTTCCTTCAGTTTCAACAAACATTATGGCAGAATGTTTAAACATACTCTCTGCCAACACTATGTTACTGTTTACTCAAATATGAATGGGCCTTTGAGAGGCTCCTGATGACATCTCCTTCACAGATGGCCCATTCTTCTCTCCACCCATGTGGCTATGGTCAACCCCAAAGCACCATGTGGCATCTGGAGTGAAGTCAGACTCATGCCATGGCCCCAGTCCAGTCTTGTTCATGCAGTCATTGCTGCTGTGTCGAACATCTCCTATGTCACCAGTGTCTCTGACACAGTCCATGACTTTGGGTTCTTTCTCCAGCTTCTTAGTGACAGTAACACCTAAGAAGCCACTACCTTGGTAGCTTCCTGGACCTACAGCACTCTAAGTCCAAGGACTCTGCTGCTAGAGCTGCTACTGTATTCCATGTGTGTCTCCAGGATAGCATGTTGCCATGGTTTGGTTTTGTCCCTGGAAGTCAGCCCATGTCTGACATAGCTAGTAGTGCTAATGATACTTTTCACAAACCCATGATTTATTTGCCCCAGGAGGACATATTTCTATTGGCTACAAAAATAAACAATGTACCGGAAGTCCATTGAATCATGATATGACACACTATTTTTGCTTCATGGCATTTAACACAGCTCAACATTTCCAGAAACTTGTCCCTGTCTTCTTAATCTCATACACATTATTCTAGTCACTTAAATGT